CAGAGAAAAATGACTTACTTGGAGAACACAGAGAAATGACTAACTTGGCGACCACAGAGAAATGACTTACTTGGAGAACACAGAGGAATGACTTACTTGCAGACCACAGAGAAATGAGGGGCCAGTACTCGGATTTGTTTTGTTGCTGCTACAGTGTTCAATCTGAGGAGGGGCCAGTACTCGGATTTGACCTGAATGTTCATGGTACTAGTCGTTAATGATAAGAAGCCGCTTATCCTTTCGGAACATCTGGTCTTACTTTGTTTCCCTTGTCCTTTCGGAACATCTTGTCTTACTTTGTTTTCCTTGTCCTTTCGGAATATCTGGTCTTACTTTGTTCCCCTTGTACTTTTCAAGCGTCTACGTGTTAATAGTTCTTCGTCATATTAAGGCCTAAGGACGGATATGTCCTGTGTACGGACAGATGTGGCTTGTGCACGGGCAGAAATGTCCTGTGTACCGACGTATGTGTCCTGTGTACGTCCGGATTTGTACTGTGTACGGACGGTGATGTCCTGTGTTCGGATGGATGTGGCTTGTGTACGTCCGAATGTGTCGTGTCTACGGATGTAACTGTCCGGATGTGTGGTGGTGTTGTACACGAATTTGTTGTGATGGTTTGTGTGCTGATGTGTGGTGATGGTTTGTGTGCTGATGTGTTGTGATGGTTTGTGTGCTGATGTGTTGTGATGGTTTGTGTGCTGATGTGTCGTGATGGAGTTGTAGATTTGTCCTGGTCGGGTGTGTACGGATACATGTATATATTGGTTATTTCTATGATGGGCCCTGATAGATAATTGGTGAAAATTGTAAGAAATAAATACGTCGGAACTTCGTACTTTTAGAACAGATTCTAAAATATAAAGCATAGCTTGGTAAGTCTTGTGTCAGAAAAGAGGATTACCACAGCAGAGTATTAGAGTTGACTAATGCTAAATAAATCCTATCATTATAAAGTACACAATGGGACTTATCCCTGGTATAATAGATGTATTAATGAGTATGATGCGGAGATTGGTTGGACTCTACAGAGGCTGGCTTACTTTGGTCACTGATAAAGCTTAACTAACCATATGATTTTGTCCCCTCGCCTCGACACCTACAGAAAAATTTAGTTTCAGTTTTATTGGGGTTTTTTTCGCCTTCTCAAATTGGAAATGCATTTTCTTACCATTTTTGCCATCTCGCCTCAACTCCCTTACAATTTAAATGACCATTGTAACTGTTACCCTCTCTCTCGCCTCCAAACAAAGTCATTGTTACCTTAGCCGTTGTTTCCCTCTCGCCTCCCAATATTGCTATTGAAATTACAATTGCCGTTATTTTCCATTTGTCTCCGAACACAGCCAATGAAATAATTAAGATAGACGTTATTCTCCTCTCCCCCAAAAAATATATCCAATGAAATTACAATTGCCGTTGTTTCCTCTCTTCTCCCCATGTAGCCGATGACATTTCAATTGCCGTTAATTTCCCTCGCCGCCAAACATAGCCAATGCAATAACAGTTGCCATTTTTTCCTCTCTTCTCCACAACTAGCCGATTAAATTACAGGTGCCGTTGTTTTTTCTCGCTGCTCCCCCCCCCCCCCCCCCCCCCCCATCTATCTAGATTGTCAATGAAATTATAATTGCCGTTTTTTCCAGCGCCTCCTCTTACCTATCGTTATTGTATTCTTCTCCGTATCCCAACCTCGACCTTGGAATTAATATTGTTTTTATTGCTGTTCCATCGCCTCCACATATTTTCATTGGTTTGTCTTTATACCGATATATGGTGTACAGGTGAAGGGTCCTATATCAATACAGTTTCAACTATTCAAATAGGTAACACATGCAAAATGATTTCGGCTATAATGTAGGACTCAACTCTCTCATGTTTAATAAAGAAAATAACGCTTCAAAATAAAAATATCATTTGCATGTTATTGTTCATGTTAAACTTAACTTTGAAAGAATATTCAGTTCCGATTTTTTTAATTAGAGCAATAAATTATTTATAAACGAGTGTTTTCCTCTTTCAATAACCAAATCGTAAACACATGCCTTAACTACAGTACAAGTATCGAGTAATAAGTAGTCTGTGGGCCAATGTTGTACTTGTGCTGTCATTATTGTGGGACAATGTTGTACTTCTGTTGTCATTATTGTGAGACAATGTTGTACTTCTGAGATCATTATTTTGGGCCAATGTTTTAATTATGTTGTCATTATTGTTTGCTAATGTTCTACTTCTGTTGTCGTTATTGTGGGACAATGTTGTATTTCTGTTGTCATTATTGTGGGACAATGTTGTACTTCTGTTGTCATTATTGTGGATCAATGTTGTTCTTCTGTTGTCATTATTGTTTGCCAATGTAGTACTTCTGTTGTCATTATTGTTTGCCAATGTAGTACTTCTGTTGTCATTGTTGTGGGACAATGTTGTACTTCTGTTGTCATTATTGTGGATCAATGTTGTACTGCTGTTGTCATTATTGTCGGACAATGTTGTACTTCTGTTGTCATTATTGTGAACCAATGTTGTACTTTTGTTGTCATTATTTTGAGCCAATGCTGTACTTCTGTTGTCATTATTATGGACCAATGTTGTACTTCTGTTGTCATTATTGTTTGCTAATGTTGTACTTCTGTTGTCATTATTGTGAATCAATGTTGTACTTCTGTTGTCATTATTGTGGGCCGATGTTGTACTTCTAAGATCATTATTGTGGGCCAATGTTGTACTTCTGTTGTCATTATTGTGGGCCGATGTTGTACTTCTAAGAACATTATTGTGGGCCAATGTTGTACTTCTGAGATCATTATTGTGGGCCAATGTTGTACTTCTGA